TAGTCTCTCATCACCTTCTTCTGGTCTGCACAATTTGTATTTCTTCTTAGACATGTACACGACGACTTCTTGGTCAGTATTATTACACTCAACTTTCATAAACACGAACTGCAAATGAGTAACTGTATCTGGTGGCGAAATGAACACAGTGATGCATCGGACGTATTTGCTATCCTGATGCAGATATCCAAAATCATGCGTCGAGTTAGGCATCATGTATACTGTAGTATTCATCCAACGATCTAAATATGACACGTGATCACAACGTCGATAGTCTAGAAACATTATGGAATTCACTTTTTGACGTCAACTGCGGATACGGTTGCTGTCCATGTAGAAGTTGACATTGAGTGAATGTGGACGCGGGGTTTTCAGCTTCAACCCCGTCAGAATAAGTAATTCTGCACATGATATCGACGTGATGAGCGACGCGTCTGGGAAAAAAAAGTTATACGAGTTATTGTAAGGTACAGAAACACATTTATACCCTTTATTTACCACCTTCGATGGTTTTAAGCCATAATTTTGCAGAGTTGGTAGACCACAGGAAAGTAAAAGTAGTAAATCGGTGCCCCGGGAGGAAGTCATCTGGCCATGTGTATGACCTAAAGTTCATTTCTTGTAGACATGCGATGCTACTTTCTGAGTGTGATTCATATGGAACTTTAGAAGAGTGACCGGTATTTGCAGTGATACCAGCTCCCTTTTAGAAAGTTAGCAACACCAAAATAACGGTATAGCATGTGAGGAGGAAATTAGTATTTGGGCATTTGGCATCTTTGTGAATAACTGAGAGAATAATTACAGAGCGATAGCATTGATTTTCAGACGTCTGCCTTCTTCTGAAACAGCTGTCATTAACCATGACCGCACTGTCTGTCAAAATCATTTTCAGTCAAAGGACAATGACTGGTAGCCACAGAAGAACCCTCAATAATTAATTAACTCAGCTGTGTGAATAAACATGGCAAATCACCCTGTGGTTTACGACTATTGTATCATCAAGATAAGAATGAAGTTTTGATAAGTATGATAACAATATGAAGTACGATAACAGTAAATTTGAAAATGCTGTCTGTGTCTCTTACGACTTACTATGACGAAGCTCGTCTGTAAACATAACATTACACCTTTAGATACGTTTGTGTCTCAGACGACAGACTGAAACTTATACACGGAACTGTTCGTCGTCAAGAAGATTCTCAGAAACTGCCTAAGTCTGGGCCAATGTGGTTGTTATGTGCCTTGTCGTTAATCAGTACCTTTAAATAGAAAAGTCGACTTCTACATACAATGTTGGGGAAACAGAAGGCAGAATCAAACTCGGTAAAAATTACCTTTTTTGGACCACTTCAAGTGAATAGTTAGATTTCCCTTGTGGGGGAATGTTCAATTGTGGCATAGCTCGTGTGTGCGCAACATCGCATAGGAACGTGGAATACATATTGGCCGTGCACCCTTCAAGGTAAGTCTTCGACATGTTTTCCACTCGGATGGCCACGTCACAACCGTACTGATGAGACCTGCGCAAGGATGCGGGGCTCAGGGCCATTACTAAATTTAGAAACACTATGAGTCAAGCTTTGTCAAAGTATTAACAACGTCGTAAGAAACGTGCAATTTTTCCTCACATAAGCTTACTCTTTGTAAGAGACGATGCCGTTACCTGTGACGATTGGTGAGGAGTGTTAGCACTATTACTCCACTATTACTAACCTAAACCTTTCTGACATGATAACTCATCATTTGAATTTAAAGTTATTTGTAGAAAACAGCAATAATCTGAGCGTTTGTCAAAAACCTGATGATATAAACGAACTTTTACGTATGTTGCAAGGAGAAAGCCAACACTGAATAAAACAGTCGATGTGGAAACAATCGGTGTAACAGCCTATATCGTTAGTTGGTGACGACTGGTAACACCGAAACTCCAATGAACAAACATCCCGATATCATCACTCGATATTTTCATTTTCGTCTTCTATGACAGTTTCTCATTTAGGGTCGGAGAGACAGACAACTGAGACGATGCTTTAAACGTTCCTGATGTTTTGTCAGGGACCTGAGATTCGGCAGACTTCTTCCAAACGTTTGCACTACGCTAATCTTCGCCGTGCACTGGACCTTCTGCCGGTCGACTTAGAAAAGAAGTACCTACCTAATATTCCTCTGTGGAGGCATTCGCATCACATAACCAAACCATCAAAAGTGTGACCTCCAAATTTCAAGAAGCAGCGCCTGCACAATAAAGGCTTTCGCGGATTTCTGCACTGCTAAAAATGTCGAAACGCGTAAGGTCAATGACTCATCCCAGAACGCCCATTCTAGCGCTTGTACTTGGGTTGGGCCATGACCTACAGTATTCAGTCATGATTCACGATTCAAGATCGAAGGTAAGAATGGGGATGAAGATCCACTTCAATAACGAGAACTCAGTTTTCAGACTCGGCTCTGCTTTAGTCACAATCGTTCGGGCTAGTTTACGTAGAACTGCACTGGCAATTACAAACCGTTGGTCGATCTATACCCCTCATTTTCCATCATCAGTAAACATGACCCCGAAGTACTTGAACTTCACCTGCTCCGCTGCTTCTCCTTTAATCGGAAGAAAGCAACGGGCAGGAGAACGAGAAAGCACTGGCCTTTCCCGTTCAGATTCGTTTAAACGCATTGCGGCTACGAGGTGTTCCGTAAAGAACCTATCCAGACAGAAGTGGAGATCAGCTTCAGACGAGGCCAACAAAAAAAAGTGATTTTGAAAAAGCAGCCTTCTCGTCTCGACATCTCCGAATCCCAGACACACGGATCGACCTTGCTGCGGCCTATTAGTCTATGTATGTAGAACACAAACAGGATAGGGGACAGGACAAAGCCTTGACCGAGACCAGTAGCAACGCTGACAGCTTTCGACTACTAGCGCAGCACAGGGTGATTCAATGCCCGAAGGAGTTAGATATCGATCGCTCATGGTCAATTTGAAGGTTTTATGCTTCCGAGCCATTTATTGAACGCAGCTTTCTTTTCTTCATCTACCAGCTGTACCATTCGCGTCCACCACGAAATTCTGTTCTGACTTCCAGGCAGCAGGCCAACCTCTTTGAATCCACAACGTTATACGGTAGCCACAAGTAAGACACAAAATATGGAGTTGTCACTCAGTTTCCATATCAGTGGTCATCACCAGGATCCGTTCAAACCGTCGAGCGATTTCACCCCGTGTCCACCGAAAATAATGTTACCAATTTGATTCACTGGTTGCTTCTGCCACCAGATCTTCACATGGTACTCCATTTCTTACAGCGCAACGTGTCACAACAAGGTGATGATTGGTTGATAGCTCTGCGCCTCCCTTAACGCAAACATCCATTACTGAGTGGCTTAAGTTAGACGATCCGATTATCAAATCGATCATCGTCTTCCGTGCAGAAGCTTCCCGGTACCATGAGACTGATGCACTTTTCGACGCTCGAAGAAGGTGTTCATTGTGGACAATCCGTTGAGGTCGCAAGGGCCGTTTTTTCCAATCACGCCGTTCCACTTTTCAGCGTCCACTCTGACATGCGCACTAAAATCGCCCATCAGCATCAGAGACTCTGTATTCGGCACATCAAACAAAGCACACTGCACTTCCTCAAGGAAGGTCTCATATTCTCCCTCCAAATAGGGCGCATAGGCCGGTACCAAGGTCATCGATTTAGCCTGTTGTAGCTTCAGTCGGAGGATTACCACCCTTCCGCTGACAGGCTT